AAAAAAAAAAAATAACAAATCCCTCGGGATGATCACTAGAAAATATGGCGCGACTAGTTTTCACAATCATCGTTTTGGCAGAGAACCCGAGTGCCAATGAACGGTTTTTCTGACGGTCATTTAATAAATCTCAATGCTCTCCAACCACCCCTTCCTCTACCGAGTTTCCCTCACACACACACACACACACACATGCTCACTACTTCCACGCCCTCCTACTGTGGTATGTCGTCTGCATGTCTAGACTCGAGCTACCACCAGGTCACCGATGGACATAGTTGAAATGCATACTAGCATATAGTATTTTCGTAGTCCGAACATTAATATAATATTATTCTCCAGGTTAACCACGTTGCCGTAGACTACGATCATTGTTCGATCTACAAATTATACATTTCTGGGAAAAACATATTATAATATAAGTGCCCCTTAATGGTTGGGTTATGAGTTTAAAATTTAAAATTTGCACCCTTCGATGATTAGCGCTGGAGCATGGTCCCCTGGTCGCCTCTCCCCCTCCTTAGATCCGGTACTACTGACCACAATTATTGTAATATTATATTTTATGTAAGTAAATTTTTTAATATTCTACTTGGCCGTCATATCATCCGATCTCCACTAGGTATAACTTGTTCCCTACGATCCTCTCTGCAGCTGTTCTCCGTTKTCTGCGATTTATCATAATCCATCAATCGTTGTGGAAATACCGTCGTTACCTGAGATAAATAGCTATAGACAGCGGAAATTTTCTGCTGTAAAGCCGACAAAAAAGCAGACCGTCACGCAAATAAAAAATAACGGCTCTTCAACACAAACATCTAATTAAAAAAAAAATAAATAAATAAAAAATATGGCGTCGAAGAAACTTTATACAATACTTTTTTTTTCGGTTGTATAAAGAAAATGTAGGTTAAAATATTACGTACCTACTGTGTAGTATAATACTATACTAATATTATTATCATTAATTAATCATGTTTACTTCGATGCGGAAAATAATTAGTGTATTGCCTTCGACCACAAACATAATATACAAAATAATACTGATCCATTATTCATTAAAATTTATTTTTAGTTGCTACAGTATTTATATGAAAACTATACAACTTTGTTTTTCATTTATCCTATACAGCAGACGTTTATTCATTACAAATTGTGTACGTAATAACAATTATACTTTTTTTTTTTTTTTAATAAACAAACTATCCGCAGCATTTGTGGCCATTGGACGTAACAATACATTTTAACAATATTCAAAATTATTTATATGATATTAAATAGTGAGAAAAAAAGAAGAAGAAACATATAATTATATTATTGGAATAACAGAACGTTAATATACAATTACAATTTATTAATAAGTTGCGTTTCTATTAAAAATTGTATTATTATGGCTGTGTATAATCGTGATGTGATTCAAGTACAATATCATGATATTCGCGTACAAATTAAAAATATAATAATATTATTTTTAAACAATTCCGCACTACTTTGTTGAATATGGTTTCCGGGCAATTTTTTTAATGCATGAAAAAAACCAATTTTTTTGAATAATTTTGAAAATATTTAAAAGCTTCTCCGATCATTCTCGTTGGAAACGATGTATTGTTTTTGTTTATAGGATGCTATTATTTTAATTATTTTTTTATACCTTTTCATGTATATAGCTTAAATTTTTAGCATCATCAGTGTTTTTTTTTTGAATGAGATTTAGGATCCGCACAAGTACGTTATATTATTAATATTATGCTTAGGGAAGCAAGCTTTTAGTACACATACACACGTGCCTATGTATAATAATATATACTTGTCACTTATTGCGTGTCTCGGTCGTATACAAAATTAAAATTGCGATTTAATAACCAGCTCGAGCACAACCATGGTTGTTGAGCTACTGATGCTTGCACTCTGCAGATGTTCATCGTAACTGAAGTGATGCTCGCTATTATAATTAATGCGACGGATTTCGTAGGGTGGATTTTTTTTTTTTTTACAAATCAGACAAAAACGAATCATCTCCACGGAAATAATATTAATATTATATTTCTATAGTTGTTCCCCGCAGTTCGAGTGTTAAGCGTAGTTTGTATACTCGTGTACACTTTTCGATATATATATGTTTATACGCTCCACGACCAGAAATAATAGGGTACTGGRTAAGACGATAAACGTTGCCTTTATCTCAGTGATACCTATCAGATATAATATTTTCCTTCTCGTGGGAACTGTCTGAGAAGACCGTCAGAGTAACTTTGATATTGTCAGCAATTTGCAGTTGCTCTATCCAAAACACTATTCTCCACAAATTGTAACAGTTTTTTTYAAATAATAATATCATATATTATATACTCGTATACGAAGCATCGTAAGTTTTATGATGACATCCATATTATCAGTTTATTTATTAACATAAACCATCAACTGTATCGTCAATTTCATCAACTTTTTTCTCAAAAACAATATTTTTATAAGACGTGAGGATATAAGAACGTCGAATCTTTTGTCATCAGATTGATTCAAAATTTTACGAGAAATAGTCAAATTCAAGTATCTAAAATCCCTTGAAATTTTTTTTTTTAATTTAGTCGATAAATAAAAATAAATACTATTCTAATTATTATCTTAATAAWAATAATATAGTGCAGCAGGATTTACAGAATTTGATTTTTACTATGCTTATGATGATTGCTCCTCGCGCGTATACAAAAGTTACACAATAGATGATGTATATTTATTAAGGCATCATTGCATTGAGAATAATCACGTCACGTCTTTCCACGGGGCTAATCTCTGTTGATAGTGTAACATCAACGTTGGCACAAAGTCTTCGACGGAGTCTTCGTATTTCAGGGTGACACCATTTTGTAACAAATTCAAGTTTGTATTCAAYGGTTTGCCTAAATATTTCATTTTGTAGGTCCATATTTTTGGATTRTACACCGAATAACGTTCCATTATCCGGCGAACCGTGTCCTCCAAACATATCTAAAACGTTGTATAATTTATTCATGGCCAACACAGGTGTGTTGTTATCTTTTATATTAGGTAGTTAAAAATCGTGTCAATTTGTGATGAAATATTGTTGAAATGAAAAATAAACTTGCTCGATTGATTTATAAAATCCTATAGATACAATTGCATTGTTATATTATGTACAAATGAAATAAAAATATTGCATAATATTAATCGCTTAATGAAGATATTACATAAATGTCGTCGTCGTCATAATATCATTAGCGGAATTTAAAAAATAAATAAATAATCGRTAAGATTAACGTAGGAAATCAGATATTACATCGATACACGATCTACCCCGYCCTTAATTTTATCGTACCCTTATTGTCGCAGTCCGTTTAATGAGCGGATTAGTCACTCGGACGTTGATGGGTCTGACCGTCTCCACGCCAACGTTGTACTTGTCGTCCGCCCACCACGGTGTCGTGATCGTGTTCGATTCCCAGCTCACGTCCGGTTCAAATTTTGGTTGGTGAGGTATCSTAAATGGTAGCATAGACACGCGAGCGCCGGTTTCGGGGTGAAGATGCGTTTTCAGCTGCGGTTTAAATGGTCACAGAAAACGAGTTTCGAGTTAATATATTCGTCTTTTTTTTTTTAAACCAGGCGGCAAAGAAATCTCTTTTCGTAAAATTGTGTAAAAAAAATATTACYCAGTCGTATATAATTGAAGGGGGACATCAATTAATGTAAATAATTAGTACTCTGGTGTGATATTATGAAAAGTCACTTTACACTTCAGCGATGAGTATTATCAAAAAACCAGGACTATGACTTCGTTATCCAGTATGCATACGCATTACGCATAGATACAGAATTTCAGATAAATATTATATTATTAAACCGAGAGTCTAAGTAATTCCAAACACGATTAATTGTTTCAAAATTTTGTTATTGTTTTTGACAATAACATGTTATTATAATATGATTGTCGTAATTTTCGGTGCTCACAATAATGTCGCCGAGTCCATTCTTTTCGAACCAAAAAGATACGTCTTTTCCGGCCTCTCGGAGTATCGGGTTCACGAGATCCGAATCATGTCTRAACTCCTTGATAAGTCCTGAAACGTTTTTCACCAACCCGTATATTGTCAGCCAACAGTCGTCATGCGTCTTGTGGCTCCACACTTCTTCCGGCAGGAAATACGTATTACGCCACGCCATTAAGATATTAATATAAAATATGAGTGTACGTAGGTGTAAGTAAATTGTAAATTATCGTCATCAACTATTAACATGCGGTATGCACTAATTTGTAACCGAATATTATTGTTATTGTTATTTTTTATAGTACGAGTAGTAATAGATTTTTTCTAGACCGAAATTGCGCGCTTATTGACATGATATGATGATATCTATAATAGTTTCGATGTTTTTCGTCTTGGCAATGGATGACGATTGTTTGTTCGCAGCTGTTGGCCGACATTTCACATTKTTATCGTCTTAATAATAATAATAATAATTAATTTTAATATTCGGTACAGTTCTTATTATTATTAATTATTTGTTACAGTGTCCGATTTCACGCAAGAGTTGTCCCAAATGTACGAACAACACGCAGCCGAGCTGCAACTGTTAGTCACGAATTTCCGAAAGAAAAATACCGATCTCAGGAAGGACAGGTATGCCTATATATATACACTTATTAGTATAAGGTCGCGTGRAACGAAAATTAAATATACTTTGAGAGACKATCGGACGGGTAAAAGGCTGTTTTTGTTGCGGGTGGAGGTGTAGAAGTTGGGTTACTGGCTGGAAAAAACCTATAGTTAAAACGCAGAAAACGCGTTTACGGTTTCTTGTTTCACTCTTCAAAAACGCGTAATTTAATATTTTTACACGCCCAAAAATAACTATTKYAAGCCTCCCGAGAAATACGAAACGCCCTATTTTTATTCTACATTCGGAAAAATAATGAGTAATTTTAATTTTAATTTCGTAATTTAAGGAAAATTATTATTAGTTTTAATATCATCTTATTATTCTCAGGCCTTCATTCCCTAGCCAATTATTCTACACGTGGGAGACGTTCCTGCAAGAGGTGGAGACGGATTCGAAGTCAATCAGTGACGTAGCTAGCGTACTCGGTCGACAAATTTCTAGGCCACTTTTAGATAGGTCGTTCCATCGAAAAGTACAATCACGTAAAGTATTCAGCCAAAGAGACTCGTTGGAATTGATCTTGCAAAAATCTGAGGACAAACTATCTAAGGTAAATGTTTGAACTATAATAGMATTAATAACGTTTATTTTTAATCAATATTRCAATMATTTTTTGTAGGACTTTTTAGATTTAATTTAAATTTACTTAATTTAAAGCACCATCAAGTGTCTCTTCACTCTGTATTTCTTGCCTTTGATTCGCACAATAATTACTGTTATTGATTTGTTTCAAGGCTTGAAATATTTACAAATGATGTCGATTTCGATATAGATAGTTACAGATTTAATTAAATATTTTCTAAAACTACCTCGTTTATTAAATTAATACAAATTTAATTCAGAYAAAACGTTTTCTTTTTTCTGGAAAATATACAATTATTTTTATTTSCATATTATGCTGAATATTAAAACATGAGGGTGTGTTCTCAAGTTTATAAATCTTAAAATCAATATTACATATAGTATAACGCATAAGCACCTCGCGTGATGTAAAAACGCCCWAATTTAAACAAATAATACTTTTATTTTATTTTTGAAATTGGTTCCGAAATTCCGACGTGATGGTGTGTTCGTTTTAGTTGCACCCCACTTTGAAAAAATTATCAAAAATAAGGAACTACCATASAAACTCTCAAAGTCGGACACAAAACAGCATAAACAWGTAACAAAAAAAATAGATGGTTGGAAAAATGTAGGTTAGGGGTGAAGGAGGGTACCAAGGAAAGGAAATTTTTTATTTTTCACTCTTCCTACTTAACTCTCCCCCCCCCCATGGCAAAAAAATCTTTATTACTACATGTACAACGCTATATCGTTATATGATTGTTGATCTACAGTGCAGAGAAGATTATAAACGTTCTTTCCTTGCCCAGCTGTCATCTCCAAACAGCTCAGCTTCCCTATCTTCGTACCTGGACGCCCACAATGCCTACGTCACTCAATTGCACGCCACCAACGGGATGGTCGACCAGTACAACCAATATGTACTACCACAACTCTTACAGGTAACGTTCGATTCGGATCRTGCCATCACATAATATACACTTCGGYATATTACAATTCACCTATATTTGTATATACGGCGAATAGCGTATGATCATAATAGAATAATTTATCATAGCCTCTCACGATTTCTAATTTCGTTTTCATCCATATATTATAGGAATTAGAAGACGTTTACTCGGATTTGTGTATGTCCCTGTCGGATGCGGTTGTCCAAGGATCCGACGTCATATACAACAAGGTACCAATAAAAATATACTACGTAATATGTACWACGCCCTTCTATCGTCTCAATATATAACCTACTAACTCTAAGCTAACACCCTATACATAGTCCAATTATGATTTGTTAATTCGTATCGATATGTTGTTGTATGCACAGTCCAGCGATCAGTCGAAGAGATACAACGCCTTGGGATCCCAATGCCGACAGTTGTCGCCTAGTTTGGATTTGGTGGCGTTCGCCCGGTCCCTAACACTGCCCACCACGCCTCACCCGTCGCAGCGGGCTCGAAGCTATTGTCCGCCACAAGTTCCGGCGGATACCGAGGGAATGATCTTGGAGCCCGGAGTCATGGTGAGTCGGATATTGATGTCAAACCGCGGGCTAGTCAAGGTGAACTGTACCTAACGTGTTTTGTATATATACATATTTCAGGAGGCCGTTACACAACTAGCGTTAAAAAACGAATTGATCGTCGACAGACTAGCCAGCTTGGATGTGCGAGCAGGATACGACACTATAAGAGCAGAATTGATGGACCTCGAGTCTCAGATGAAACAGATTCAAGATTCGGTGGAAACGTTTAAGCGCTTACAACAAAGGTTTATAATTATACTGACATAGAAACACATTATTATGGGGGGAGGGGTGGCTAAATTGAAAAAAAATAAAATTGTCATGAATGTTTTATAGAAACAAAGGCCATCTCTTACTTGAGACCAACTTATTTTAACTGGTGGGGAGCTGCTGGGCTTGAAAGTTATAACTAGAACTCTAATGTAATTTGTGCACTTCTCGAGTCTCTTGCAAAATGTCTGATTGTTATAACAAACACTGACTGTAACAACGTTACACTTAACGCAGACTGAAGTTTTGTTATTTTTTAAGAACCTTCTGTTAATCATGTCACAATGGTAACATCCTATTAAACTCGTATTTCAAACAAACATCATTAACATTCATCGACTCTATACATTTGATGGTACCGTATCAATGTTGTCGCAGCTCTATTCTAGCGATAATTTTACCAAAATTAAATTTTTTCCTCATCAACCTACTTTTAAAATAGATTTAAAAAAAAAAAAAGAAATACTTTTATCTTTCATCCAACGCGTAAAAGATGATAGCGCCGATTCGAGTCTAAAAAAAATATCACTCGATAATTTATTTGTTTTAAGATTTTAAATTTTTCATTTTCTTAGAATACCTTCTATAAATATCACATGTATCCGTCTAGCTTAAAATGTTTTCATTCAATAATTCACATTCCACATATACAATTTACCCAACAAACGATGATGGTAGTCCTCGATAAAAATACGTCTGTTAAAAAAACAAGCTAAAAAAATTGTTTCTGAAACTAAATTTTTAAATATTTCCATTACAAATGCTTTACACTAATAGGATTTCGCTGGGCTTCAGACTTTTCAATTTTGTTCTACGCCTTTTGTTTTTAGAAGCAATTAAAGTTTAAATAATATATATGACGTATAGGTATACACAYTACATATACAGATAACCATGTTCAAACATATATATCCCTCGCAATCTCCTAATCTTTGCTGGAGACTTCTTAAATTACTTAAATTGTATAAGGTATATTGCTGTGTACTAATTTAATTGATGGTAGACGTTTAAAGTCAAAGTCTCGAATAAAACTTGGTTGAATTCATGTTTGAAAATCGATTAAAACCAGCATAGCGTAGTATAAACAAGCGTATAGTGGAACGCATTATATAAGTCGCAAAAATTTTAATTTAAAACATTTAATATTATATTATGAGTAGTTTCAAATCTTGAAACAAAACAATGTTTCGTTATTTTTTATGTTTTTAACGACTTTTATTCGACTGCTGTCTTTCTGTTCGCAACTTCATGTTTGATAAATTTGTCACATTCCGGTTTAAGTAACACTGTTATATTTTTTAAATCGAATCTGTTTTATATATGCATATAAAAGCAAGTACGGGAAAAGCAATATTTTTGGTACAGTTAAAAATTCCAACCATTTTTATGTATGTAAGTRATGTTCACTTATCTGATATTGATATTATTCCGAATAATTWCTGAGATAACGTTAGGTCGTGTCAATTCGAGACAATAATCATTGAAATAGYAAAAACTTATATATATAACTGTTTCATGAATATMAATTTTAACATTCAATAGGTGATCATACAAGCTAAACGTTTGTGTGTGCGCGAAACCTATTAAGTCTACATTAATGCAAACAGTGCCATGATGAGATGATTCAGAGGCTAGTCTAATACGCAACAGCCACTCTGCAGCGCCAATAACTCAATAACGGCTTTCACTGTCATAACGATTGTAACTACTTACTTTATCGAAGAAGTTATAACTAAAACACTTTAGTCAGTATACTAAGTTATCAAATATTGGTCATCCATCGTCCTTTGAAAAATTGATCAAATATCATACGATTAAAACAAAATGTCACATAATTTATAAATATATATATATATGTATATTATACAAGTGCATTAGTAAGAACGTATAACTTTCAAACGTAAAAAATCATATACCTATACGTGTGGCACGAAAAATACAAATTTTTAATCAGATACAGTCATCTCTGGTGCTGGTGTACAAATACTATTTTTTTTTTTTTTAAATATCAAGCGCGTATTTATAATTATTAAGTATAATTTATTGCCTGTTTACAATACTACTGCACTCTGAGGCGTTTATAAGTATATGAAATTTTGCGACTTTTAGTGACAAGTTTATCCTACCGAACGAAACTTCTACATCATAA